TGCATCCACACACATGCGACACGTGCACACATGCCCACATGCTCACACATACGCACACATGCGACACGTGCACACATGCCCACATGCTCGCACACATGCAACACATGCACACGCGCCCACACGCTCACACACACGCACACATGCGACACGTGCACACATGCCCACATGCTCACACATATGAACACATGCACACGTGCCCACATGCTCACGCACGCACACATGTGACACGTGCACACGCACCCACATGCTCATGTGCACACACACGTGACACATGCCCACATGCTCACACACACGTGACACATGCACATGTGCCCGCATGCTCACACACGTGACACATGCACACGTGCCCACATGCTCACGCACACACACACGCACACCCCTCTCTGTAGCTTTCATACTTCTTTCTCGAGGGGAACCTCTATATCGTAGAACGAATCGGGACACTAGATGGGGGGGCAGCCGCCACTGGTGTGCTGACTTGACCTTGGGGAGGCCACGTGACCCTTCCCGAGCCTTCGTTTCCACATTTGCAGACCGGGAATGAGGGCCTTCTCCCTGCGCGACTCCCCAAGGTGGTGCAAGGAACGGGTGGCACCTGAAAATGTTTGCTCGAGGGGATGGTGCTTCCATCTTCTACTGGACGCAGAGGGGAGAAATGCTGGACTTGGGACACTGAGGCCCTCTCTGTTGGGGGCGGGGGCAGGCAGCTGGCAGGAGAGCCGGGGGCCCAAGGGTCTCTGGGAGGGATCTAGTCCTTGGGGTCCCGTGGGGCCTTGAAGGGAGAGCAGACAGTGCCAAGAGTTTCTCCAGGGGAGCCTGAGCCCCACTTGAGGACTGTGGCCACATCTGGCTCGAAAGCCGTTATAAATGTAGACTCTCAGCCTCCACGCCAGGCCCGCTGAGTCCAGGCTGTGTTTTAATAGGCCCCCAAGTGACTTGTCTGCACGTTGCACTTTGAGAAACACTGTTTTAAGAGCCACTCAGTTGCCCAGGACTTGGAGGCAGGCTGGGGACTAGCTATCAAACTTTGTTCGCTTGCAAACAGGCCTCACTCAAAGGGGAGGACTTTCATGGACAGACCGTGGGTGTCTCCCTTGAGTGTTTGCCTGCAGATCTGGTGGCGGCAACAGGGACTCCCCCAAGCCTCGGCTGTCATCCTTGGCTCCGTGGAAGAATGTCAGGACTAGGTGCTTAGAGAAGGTCTGAGGAGTCAGGTGAAGGTATGTAGGCTGTCGACCCTGGGCACTGAGGTGACCTCAGACATTGATTCCCTGGGGTTCAGCGCTCATTCCGTTTATCTATCCGTTTGTTCATTCACATGGTAACTTATTAGCAAGTTCATTGTCTTGCTCATCCATCTGTCCATGTATTCCATCCATCGGACATTCACTGTCCATCCAGCCACTCACCCGTCCTCTCATCTCCCATTCATCCACCTGTCACTCACTCATCACCTACCCGTCCACTAAGCCACGACCCACCCACCTGGCACTCATCCAGCCAGCCAGCTGTTGCTGCTCCCATCACCCACCCATCCCTGTGCACTGCCCATTCATTCACCTGCCTACGCTTCTGTTACCCATCCGTCAGCCAGCCAGCTCTTGTCTACCACCTAGCCACCCGTAACCCCTCCCCTGCCCACCTCCCCTTCATCCATCACTCATCCTTTAAGCCATTTGACCATCCTCCAGTTATCATCCTTCTCTCTCTCCGTCTGTCTTTCTCTCTGTCCATCATTTTTTGAATCCCGGGTCACTGCCCGAAACGAGGCCCTTCTCTGTCCACTGAAGCTCGGTCTGAAGTCATGTAACTGATTTCAGACACGACCCTGCCCGCGGGGTCTACCTCTCTCTGAAAGGGAGAGCCACCTTGTTGAGTGTCCGCATGCAGAGAATGAGCCCTGTCGCCGTGAAGCAGAAAGAGCACTGGCCTAGGAGCCCGCCCTGGCTCCCCCCAGCTCCGGCAGTGACTTGCCATGGCCCTTGGCCAGGTCTCTCCCTCTCTGGACCCCCTTGCCCTCTATAATGACGGGTGGGGACGTAGAGCAGGACTCGGTGGGTGCTGAGAGGTTGTGGGCACCTCGTAGGTGGGTGAACCACTGTGGGGATGGCACTTACAAACTTCAGTTAATGGGTGGGGGGTACATACGAGGTGCCTGACGGTCCCAGCTCAGGGGCAAAGGGTATGAGGGTGGTGGCGCTCAGTCTGGCCCTGTGGCCCACCGGCTGCGTGTCGGGCTTCGGGCCTCCTGCCTGTCCCTGATGGTGTCCAGGCACACCTGTGCCACCGCCGACGACGGGGGGAGTTGGGAGCCACCCGCCCGCCTCAGTTTCCCAACTGGGGGTTGGACTAGGCTGTTGGCGGTCAAGCATTCCAGCCCTTTCTCTGCAAACAAAAGCTTGTGCAGAAGCACAGAATGTAAAAGTCGTACCGGGTTGCGGAAGGACGCGCTACGCTCTGGACCGTGTCGTCTGTCACGTGAGCGAAGGCCCAGACAGCACCGTTTCCTCGTACGTGTGTATGTACCGTACACGCGTGTTACTGTGGAGCTGGGGGCCTCGACGGACAAAAACAGCAGCTCCGCCTGTACACGGGGGAGCAGACCGAAGTCGGAGAGGGGTCCGGGAGGGCTCAGTGTAACTGGAATGCCCTGACTTCCACGAGCACGTAGTCGCGTGTTCCTCGTGAAACGAGAGACCGAAGGCAGAATTAACGAGGGAACGCGGGAAGCGACGGCCGTGGGCTGCCCCGGCTTGCGTGCCCAGTGGGGAGGCTGGGCCCGGGGACCGTCTGTGGCTCCCTGGCTGCCCGCCCCAGGTTGCGGAGCACGGCTGTGGGCGGCAGGCCACCACTCGGCCAGGCCTGGGGAGAGCAGGTGCTGCCCAGTCCTGGCCACGGAGAGGCAGCCACCTCGCCCGGAGTGGGGCTGCAGATGTCCCTCTGTGCGGCTGGGCCGAATCCTGAATCTCTCCTTTGTCTTCCTGTTGGCCAAGTTCATTGCCTCTTGGCGGGCGGGAAGGCTGTTTAAGGGAGGGAAAAAAGGCCATCTGAGGAGTGAAGATAAAAAGAAGTCTTTTAGCCATCCCAGGAGAGGATGGCTTTAGCTCCTGCGTTGTTATGTAAAGCCGGCCCTAATCCAGAGTCTTAACCGCCTTAACTGGCCAGCTGGGAGCACTAGGGATGGGAGATTAAGGCTGGGCTTGGTGCGAGGGCTGAGGGCTGCCGAGGTCCTTTTGAACTGTGGAGAGAACAAAGTAACCATCAAAAGTCCCAGGCTCAGAGCTGGCGGGGCGTGGCAGGGGCGGGACCTGTGCCTTTAGTGGGGAGAAGGGGAATGGAACCCAACCCAACCCCCGCTCTGCTGACCCTGCAAGGACAGGGGACCGTCAACCCCACAATTCCGTCCCACCTGGCTTCTCAGCCTCCCCAGTGGGGCCGGATGACAGGTGGTAGCAGACAGTGGTTTGTGGTGAAAATTGGTGCCAGGCCTGAATGGCAGGTCCGTGTCACCCTGAGTGGCCCCCAGGAAGTGCTGGGTCTCGGGGTGTCCTCCCGACACCCACAGGCTGCAGCTCTTGCTCTGTGCCCGTCGAAGGGAAAGGCCTGCGAATGGCCCCTTCTCTCTGGGTCTCCTCTCTCCCTCCCACCCAGTGCCGTCCGGGCCCCTGCCTCGCCCTCTGGCCTCCGCCCACTGACCCTCGGCATCCATGCCCAGGTGCCGATTCCTTGTCCTCCGACCTCTTTGCCTGGGGGTGGAGGCTGGCAGATGCCACCCACCTGGCATCTTCCACAGGAGGCCGGCTCTCAGAGCCCATCCAGCCCGCTCGCCCTGCTAGGAAGGGCGCCCTCCCCGTGGGCCCAGCTGCACTGTCCTACCTGGTCCCCGCCTGCGTTTGGCCTGGCAGGACCCGCGGGGCATCCGCTTCCCCGGCCCCAGGGTGGACGTGCCTGGAGCGGCTGGTCCCGCCGAACGGGGCAGTGGTCCTGGGACTGAGACCCAGGGCCTGTCCCGACGTGCACGGGCCCCAAATTCTGCCTCCGCCACCAG